TATTTTGGTTTATTAATATAGTCTGTGTTCATATTCACTTAGTATGAAACCTCCAAGTACAACTGAATCTTAATATTTTCCCAGCTCCCTCTTCCACCCCTTCCCTGTCCCTCCACCAACCCCCCCTAACCCCCCACTCAATCCCCACATCATTCCCCATGGAGGGTGAGGCCCTCCTTGGGGGATCTCCAAAATCTGTCATTTCATCCAGGGCAGGACCTAGGCCCTTCCCCATGTGTCCAGGCTAAGAGAGCATCCCTCTATTTGGAATGGGCTCCCAAAGATCATTCATAAACCATGATAAACACTGATGTACTACCCAAGACCCCAGTGATTTCTGTGGCCTCCTCACTGAGACTACATTCATGGAGTCTTAACCATAGAATTTAAAAAAGACTATCCATTGTGGTTTTTCTCACTCAGTAGGATGATTTTTAATAATAGTAACATACTGTACAGTTTGTAAAACTAGAAATAGGGTTGTGATTGTTTCTAGCCTAAAGAAATGATAAATGTTTGAGATGATGGGTATGTTTAGAGTTATTTCAGTGTATTCTACAATGTGTATGTATATGAAAACATCACATGATACCCCATTGATATATACAATTTTGTGTAGCATTTAAAAACAAAGTTTAGAGAACTAAGGAGATTGATCAGTGGATAAGAGCAATTTGATGCTGTTGCAGAGGACACATTTCAATTCCCAGCACCTATATGGCATCCCACAGCTATCAATAACTCCAGCTCCAGAGGATACAACCCCCTCTTTGACCTTTGCAGATACGGTTCTCATGTGATATGTATGCATACATACAGGCAAAACACTCATATTAAATAAATACAACTTTAAAATATTTTTTGAAAAAGAAAGTTGGGAACAATAGCAATTTAAATGACCTAGGGGAAATGACATATTGTGTGATCCATGTAATCTCCCTATTAACTTTCCATGAATGGATCCTTTTATGGAATCTCTATTCATCTAACAGAAATTAACTGATTGATATAAATGGTTCATGTAGAAGTCAAGAGGAAGCCAAGCCAACAACTGTACATTTGTACAGACCTACGATGGGCTCCTGTTGTCACATGAGTATCAGATATGGAGTAAGTCATACTCCTGACTATTTAAGAGCACCTAATGCAGTAAAAGACTCTGGGAGATGTCTTGTTCTCCACCAGTAGAGATGGGAGTATTTGTACTTGGCACAGAGTCATCAACTATAAACTCTAGGCACTTGAAGAACCAAGTGCTGACCTTGACTCAAAAGTTCATGGCTTAGAAGTGTACTCAGAAGATGCCTGATCTAGTCAATGTAAAGAAAACATCCTAGGGACATATCATCTCACCACTGAAAGAAATATTTTCATCTCTTACCTTAAGTTTTCAAAAGCAAACACTTGATTGTGGCTGATGATAAAGAAATTACTATATTGTAACACAGTACCAAAATTCGGGCCAGGTATTTATGGGCAGTGCTGCTAGAGAACAAAATTGCTATGGCAACAGGAATAATTCCAGCATCCTTGGAGAATCAAACTGTCTAGAGTACTGCTGTATAGAAATGCAGACAAAATTGGGTAGGAGGAGAAGGAGAGAAGTAATTTATAACCAGGAAATGCCAAATGTAAACTGGCCAGGTGTTTGGTACATGCCTGTGAGCCCAGCACTTGGGAGACTAAGATGAATTCAAGGGTAACCTGTGCTATATAGAGAGTTCCAGGAAACATTAGGGTGCACAGACAGATCTTGGCTCACAATAAATAAACAAAACTGAAATATGTTTTTAAATTATATTCTGTATTGTTAACAGGTTATACAAAATTATTTTTGGTAAATAATTTTCTATTATACTTGTGGATAAAGAGAGTCATATGACACTGAGATCATTCAAAATAATACAGAAGTGTATTATTTAGCTTCCTTGCTGTGTGCTCAAATTACTTACCTAGTTAAGTGTGATTTGGCTTAATATTATAATTTGACTTTCCTGAGTCATAACAAACCTATTACATATTTAATATAGAAATATACTAGTGGAAGTTAATGAAGAAAAAAGAAAAAACTGTAAGTCAGTCATCTTGTAAAAGGAAAAATAGAAAACCAAATCCCTCTCCTACCTCTCTAAACTTCTCAAAATTGGGAAAGTATGTGTGTGTGTTTGTGTGTGTGTGTGTGTGTACAGTGTGTGTGTGTGTGTGTGTGGTGTGTAACACAGAACCAGAATAGTGTCTGGGTTTCTGAAGCTGGAGTTACAGGCAGTGGTGAGCCATCTCATTAGGAATCAAACTTGGGTATTCTGGAACAGCAGGAAGCAGCCTTAACCACTGAGCAATCTTTCTAGCCCCTTTGCCTGAAATATATGCTTTTGTTGTTCTTGTTTTGTTTTGTTGAAACGGAGTTTTTCTGTGTAGCCTTGGCTGTCCCAGAACTCACTTATAGACCAGGCTGGTCTCGAATTCAAAGATGTACCTGTGTCTGCTTCCCTAGTGCTGGGATTAAAGATATGCTCTACCACTACCTAGAAATGTGTTTTAATAAGAAAGTTAAAACTGAAAAGATCTTGTCCTTTTACCCTTCTCTGGGTGGCCATGTATGTCTATCTCTCTTATGGTCCTCCTTGTTTCCTAGCTTCTCTGATGGTGTGGATTGTAGGCTGGTACTCCTTTGCTCTATGTCTAAAATCCATATACGAGTGAGTATATACCATTTTTGTCTTTTTGTGACTGGGTTACCTCGCTCAGGATGGTTTCTTCTAGTTGCATCCATTTGCCTGATAATTTCAAGATTCCATTGTTTTTTTTTTCCACTGAGTAGTACTACATTATGTAAATGTACTACATTTTCTCTATCCGCTCTTCAGTTGAGAGGCACCTAGGTTGCTTCCAGGTTCTGGCTACTACAAATAATGCTGCTATAAGCATGGTTGAACAGATATCCTTGTTGTATGAATCTGTATCTTTTCTGTATATGCCTAAGAGTGGGGTTGCAGGATCTTATGGGCAACTTTTGGATAAATGCCTAAGAGTGAAATTGCTGGGTCTTATGGTAGACTGGTTCCAATTTTCCTGAGGAACTGCCATACTGATTTCCAAAGTGGCTATACAAGTTTTTACTTCTACCAGCAGTGGAGGAGTGTTCTGCTTTCTCCACATCCTCTCCATCATAAACTGTCATTGGTGTTTTTGATTTTAGCCATTCTGAGAGGAGTAAGATGGTATCTCAGAGTTGTCTTGATTTACAGTTCTCTGATGGCTAAGGATGCTGAGCACTTTCTTATGTGTCTCTCATAGCCATTATAGGTTGAAAGAGAAATCTGGCACTAGGGAAATGTCCAGAGGTCCAGAGATCTACAAGGTTGACCCCAACTAATAATCTAAGCAATAGTCGAGAGGCTACCTTAAATGTCCTTCTCCGATAATGAGATTGAAAACTACCTTATATGCTATCCTAGAGCCTTCATCTAGTAGCTGATGGAAGCAGAAGCAGACATCCACAGCTAAACACTGAGCTGAACTCTGCAATCCAGCTGTAGAGATGGAGGAGTGATGAGCAAAGGGGTAAAGACCAGGCTGGAGAAACCCACAGAAAGAGCTGACCTGAACAAGGGGTTGCTCCTGGACCCCAGACTGATGTCTGAGAGGCCAGTATAGGATTGATCCAGACCCACTGAATGTGGGTGTCAATGAGGAGGTCTGGTTAATCTATGGGGCCTTTGGTAGTGGATCAGTATTTAACCCTAGTACACAATGGACTTTGGGAGCCCACTCCACATAGAGGAATGCGCACTCAACCTAGACACATGGGGGAGGGCCTAGTCCTTACTCTAAAGGATATGACAGACTTTGAAGATTCTGCATGGAAGACCTCACCCTTCCTGGAGAGCAGAAAGGGGATGGGATAGGGGGTAGATGGGATGCAGGGAAGAGGAGAAGGAGAAGGAACTGGGATTAACATGTAAAAGAAGCTTGTTTCTAATTTAAATTAAAAAATGGAAAAAAAGAAAGTTAAGACTGTATGAGATACAAGTGATAAAATGCATTACCATCCAAAGAGTGCACACCTCTGACCCAAAGACTCTGAAGTGATTCCTACAAGTTTCTGGCTCCTACCACAGGCATTCATTGATAACAGGAACTTACCATCTCAAGGGTGATGTTCGACATACAAGATACCACAAAAGAACGCTAAAGCTGATTCCTTATTTTGAGTGTTTTCAGTGGGAGAATGGTCTCTTTCTAGTGGACAAAGTAGCTAAGCTGTCACAAATGTGCAGTGCAACCTGTCTCTGTCTCTGTCTCTGTCTCTACCTCTGCCTCTGTCTCTCTCCCTCCTTCCCTCCCTCATTCCCTCCCTCCCTCTCTCTCTTTTTTGCCGGGAATCAAGACCAGAACTTCACACATGCCAGACAAGTGTCCTATCACTGAACTACATCCCAAGCCTGAAATTAGTTTATAAAATATGAATCATTTTGCAATTGTTCAACCTAAAATTCCTTAGTTAAACCACCACGGTGAAGATGTCCTGGGTAGACTCAAGGTTGGGGTATTTATAAGCAGCCAACCAGCAATCAGTGCCTTTTATTGGCAACAAAAGCCATCCTAGATCAAAGTTCGCAAATGGAAATATTTTCATTCCTCTCTATTTCCTCTTTGGCCTGGGGAGATTTGAACCAAATTGCCAGCTGGTAACATATACAACAACACTAAAAGCACACACATGAACACTGGGATACATCTCAAGAAAGGAAAAATGGCTGAAAGAGTTTATCTTTAAAAGAAATTGAATACAGCTCTGGCTTGCTAAATAATTACATTAAAATCTTTTCTCAGATTGTATGCAAAATACTGACAACTGTATTTATATAGTCAACTAAGCGCCCCAGTGTTACGGTGTTGAAAACGACAGGTGTGTAGGATGTACCTTATATACAGAGGCTTATATATGGAACATCGATGATGGAAAACAAAGCTACATGAACAGACAGGGCCCTTACCTTCTCCAGGATGGCATTGCCTTGGTGGGGACTGACGTTATGCTGACTGATTTCTCTCTTGTACTTATATTCGTAAACTTGGTCAGTGATGTTGACTAGCAGAGTTGATGGGCTGAATGACAATTTCCCACACTCGTAGACAGTTCCACTCTCAATATCAGTTGGTGCTGTGGCATATCGTAAAATTAACCCCATTATGAGACCTAAAATAAAGAACAAATAATTGTACTGGAAGAAGGCAAGCTAAATCTCTCATAATTGAAGTTTAATAGAAGTGACATGAAGAAACACAGGGCCCTTGCTTGGTTTGAAAGTTGTTCACTCACAGATACTAACTCGTTGGGTTGTGTTATTGGAATAAGTTGTGGGTAATATTGCTTGCATCCTCAGAATATATTCCCTTTTTTTTTCTCCCCAGTTTGGAGGGGAGGTACCTACATCTCCTATCCACTTAAAGTATTCAAGAGAATCTTTACTCTGTGACCAACATAAAATGACTTATTATTCAGGAAGTGGATACCCAGGGATTGTGTCTTGTGAAGAACTGTCCTTCTCACTAACATGATTGATTCATTTATATTTCAGGCCTAGGGGGAGAAGTGACCTTGTTGTCTTCCTGAAGTTATGACAAAGCGATAGCTTCTGCATTTTTATTGGCAGGTATCTGGGACCAACCCGAAGAGGATTTGGTCCAAGGACACAGGTCCAAGGTACAGATGGACTTTGACTCCTGAGTGACATCTTTGAGCTTCCTCCTGAGTGACATCAAACAGCTTCCTCTATAGCTACCAAATTCTTTACTTCCTGACAGGCAACAAGATACCTTTTCTTAACCTTTCAAGCCATTTCCAGTTAAAGGTTTGCTTGCCCATAGTCACATGTATTCTCAGACATAGCATCCTTTGTACAAGGGGCCAATCCTTCACTTCTAAGCTTCTAAACTCTAGTAGGACATTCATGGTAGTAAGATCACTACAAACTCTTAAATTTTGAATTTATTAACAAATATGGAGAAAAGAGCTTTAGAGACCCCAAACAGTTCTTGATTTCAAATTTGGATTGATATATGTGTTTTGGGATAAATAATCCAACTTTATTCTTTGAACCTCATGTTTTTGTCTTTTGTTTGTTAATTCTATAATCTTGTAATATTTATTATTTGTTTTCTTTCCACCTTTGATGTTGCTTCCTTTTTTACTTTTTAGACAGGATCACATGTAGTCTAGGCTGGCTTCAGTCTCACTATGTAGCCAAAGATAGCCTTAAATTCCTGATCCTCCTGCCTCCATCTCCTAAGTGCTAATACTACAGGCACACACCACCTTACCCAGCTCAACGTTCTATTTTGTCCAGTGAAATATTTTGTTGAAGATTCATGAGTAGAAAATTCTAAGACAGCACCACGTGTGCCAGGGCAGCTGGGAAGCACGCTGTTGTAGAGAGAAGCACTGAACAACGCAGAGCCCGAGGAGAACGAGGGCTCACAGAAGTCTTATCTCCATGAGCTGATCAGACAATGACCAGGATCTGGGTAGCCGTGGGACTCACAGTCAGTAGAAAGTGTATCCGGATATAAGTTCTCCAGCACCACGGTTGGTGGGAGGTGCTTGCTCAGCTAAGGCCTGTTTCCTGGCTGCTTCATCTCTGGCCAGATCTCATCAATGGCATGTAAGCAAAAGTGATAGGTTCTATTTCTAGGTTGGGGCAGAGAATTATCTAGTGAATTTTCTCTCTCCTTTCACTCCCTTATTGGCTGCATAGGGAGATGGTCACAGACGCTAAAGACAGACAATGTTACTGGTCATAAGGGGACTAGGTCCCTGAGAAACCAGGAGTATGGGGGTGGGGGCATCTGCCAGCCAGGAGCACCTGTGTTTGGCTGCTCTTTTGTACAAATGGCTAGTATCTTGGTGTTTCTGTGTCCACAGTCACTAGTAATAATCTCATCAGGACAAGTGTCACTGCAAAGGGACTTTCCAAAGGAGACCTGATGCTTTTAGGAAATTACTAGTGGTCCAGAATGAATGCATGAGGTAGAGGAGAGGAAAAGGGAAAGGAGGAAGGGAGGAATGGCAGGAGGGAGAAGAAGGGAGGGAAGGGAAAGAAAGAGACAGAGACAGAGAGAGGAGATCACAGGGTACGGCTGATATGCTGAGAGACTGACTTTCAGTTCAGTGGTACTGAGAACTAGTGAAACATTTTAGGCAAGATGGTAAAATAATTAGATTTTGATATAAGAGTTATCACTCAGGAAACTATGGAGAATTGATTAGAGGGGTTAAAAAACAAATTAACAAATTTCTTTGATGAATTTTTAAAATTTTCACTTATGTTTGCTTCAGTTTAACCTACTCTTCCATAAGAAGAACACTGTACACAATCTTCATGACCAAGATAAGAAAAAAGGGGTCTCCCCAAAGGTTCACATGTTGCAAGTTTGTTCTTAGCTGCTGGGTTCAATTATTGAGGCATGAATGGATCAAGGTCATGGGGGGGGAATTCCCTAAAACTATACCTTGTCCCAGATCCTTCCTGTCCCTCTCTGCTTCTGCCATGAAGTAAGAGCTCCAGGCAATATGCCACTCATGTTCTTTATCGCCTCAGGCCACAGAGATGGGACCAAGCAGCCATAGATTGAAGTCTCTGAGACCATGAGCCCAAATAAATCCTGCCTTTGTTGTATTCTTGGCCGTTTCACCCCAGCAATGAAGTCTTATCAGCTCACAGAACAGCAGGAGACTTCCAGGCATAGTGCTGAATGCTTATAATTAAACCACCTTCAGAAGGGCAGAGGATGCATCCCCCATACCTCATGCTATTTGGGTGTCTGTGGAAGATCACTCTGTGAGCTCCTCTCCTAAGAGTGAGTCAACTGGTGCCACAACACCAGACTAAAGGAAGCACAAAACAGAATCTGCAGGGGTCTGAATGGAACAATCCTAAATTAATATCACTTCAAATTTCCAGTAGGTAAGCTAGTTAGTTTTGAAAACTGCTCTCAATGAGATAAAAAGAAATGAACAAAAAGTGTCTGCCCATAGTCATTTCCCAAGCATAGAGAGCATGCCCTTGCCCCCAACAGTAAATGCCTACTCACTGGTCTGGGTAAGTTTACATAAGGCCTCAAAAACTAAATGGTCCTACCTACTCCTGCACCAGCTTGGTTCTCAGACTCCAAGAAGAAACTCCCTGAAGTAAGTGGAGGCATTTGCAGCCAGAAACAAGCAGATGTATTAGCCAAGAAAATGCAGCTCTCGTGAGAGGAAGGAAGTCAGCATGGATTTAGCAGTTGTATCCCAGGCTCTACCAGCACATTCATGCAGAGGCATTCTATGCCCTGTGCACAGCCAATGTCTGAGCCCAGCAGGTTTGCTAAGGCAAGGAGCCAGGGACCTCTCTGAAGAACAGCCATGGGTGCAATCGCCCATAACTTTCCAGACCTTTCTTAGAATTGTAGTGTGCTAAAGGTCCCCTGCGCAGCCTCTCTTCCTTTCCTTTCTCCAAAAATGCTGGTTCAACATCAAAGACAGACAGCTATCCTGGAGTTCTCATACCCCTCCCCATTTTCTCTCAAAGAAGTTTCTCATAGTAAAATAGTTTCTACAGTTAATCTCTTCCAGCACTTCCTTCTTATAGGAGCCAACTTAACATATGAGCCAAAAGGTTCTGGACCTAGTTTGCTCCAAACCCCAAGTGTTTGGAGGAATCAAATCTTGGCAGTTTCCAGAGGCACCATGGCTAGCACACCCATGCTGCAGGAACAGCAGCTGGACAGTCCTTGCTTGTCAGAGGCCAGGCATGATCAGGCAGCCTCCCACAGTTTTTCACAGGCAAACTCGGTGCTTTGGTCATATGCCGACACAAAGATGGCGTGGCTAACTGACACACACTTCACAGGCAAGACTGCATGGGAGTAGATCAGAGATAAAGGAGGACTGCAAGAGAAAGAACATTCCAAGTGGAAGGGACTGTTTTCATATCCACACAAAGGTACGGGATAAAGGAAGTGCCAGTCACCGTATCACAAATGAATGACAGATGGGCCACCATAGCTGCAGAACACAACAGCACCACTTCCATTGCAAAACAAGAAAATCAGAAAGTCAAAGGAGCTATCCTGCCCCACTCAGTAAGGGACCATCTCCCAGAACGCATGCTTACAATCACAACATAGGTCTGCCCCAGCACTCAGAGCACTTCTCTGAGACCCACTTCTTTGGCAGGAACTGGCATTACCTTTTCAGGCAGTCTCTAATTAAGAAGCATTGGGGCTCCTTTAAGTTCAAATGTCTGAACACCTAGGGTAGGGAGAGGAACCCTGGCCGCCCTCAGCATCACACAGTCCCCTTACAGAGCTTTATTTGCATAGCACCCAGCACTCGAAGGCATATGGCCTCACCTTGGCAAACATGCTCTATCAGAGCCCCTGTACGTAGACCTCCTGAGTACAGCTCACATAGTGTAAACTGCACAGCATTGGGAGCCTGTCTTCTGGGAGCCCACATTATTCAGGGTGGCCTAACAGACCTCTGGTACACAATGAGACTGTTTAAGGCAGAGGCTCAGTGCTATGATTCATCCCCTTTCCTCCAGAAAAAGACAAATACTTCAGGCAGCATTGTAGCTGGATTTTTTCCAGTTGAAGTGAAGAAAAGGATCTGCTAAGTAGTCCACCAGTCCCAGGGATTTTAAAGTGTCACAGAGTATGAGCACCTCAATAAATGCTGTGATGTCCCTGTCCTTAAGGGCTTTCTATATGACTGTCATCTAGCAGATGTCTGAGAGGCTGCCATGCCATGTCACAGCATGAAGAAGGGAGGGAAGGAGAGATGTGTGGCTGAACGCACATGTTATCCTTGAACTTGAGAGATGGAGGCAGGAAAATCAAGAGTTTAAGGCAACACTAGACTATATGAGGCTTTGTGTCAAACAACCAAAGAGAGGAGAGAGAGAGCAGAGAGAGAGAGAGAGAGAGAGAGAGAGAGAGAGAGAGAGAGAGAGAGAGAGAGAGAGAGAGAGAGAGAGAGAGAGAGAGAGCAGAAAGTGGAAAGAGCTTCAGGGATGCTCCCATCATGGAACATTCAGAAACAGCCGCCTTGTCATTTGGATTCTCTCTTATTTCATCATCCACCTTGTTCTACTTGCATGCCACCTTAATGTAATGCTGTTCTGAGGCTTGTGGAAGCTAGAAAGAAATGAATAC